CCTTTTTAAAAGGCCGGCAGCACACCTGCAATGCCGTAGGTGTTGTGGGTGACCATGGGCGGCGGTAGTCACTTACCATCAGGTGAGCCGCATGCTCGTTTGCCCCCTGTGTTGTAAAAAAAAAAAAAAAAAAAAAAAAGAAAGAAAAGGAAACTTCTATGGGATTATAGATTTAATCCAAACGATACAAGCAAAGACGCCTTACAAAAATATTCTAGAAAACTTAAAAAAATTATTAACCTAACTCAACGTTCACAAAATAGTCATAAGATAAATATGTCATCGAATAAAACTAAAGCGACTTGGCAAATAATAAATAAAAACAAACAAAGTATAGCTAGGAGTTCCATGCATTTAGTAAAAAAAGAAGGCAAAATTATCTGTGACCCACAGGCCATATGTATATATATTCTTTATTGCACAAAAACATACAGTAACAACAATAAGTTAATAACAATGTTAGCAAAGGCGAACTTATCTCTAAAAGAGATTTCTTCCAGTCAACCTAACGCAGTGGCATAGGAAGTAGTGAGTGGGCAGTAGTAGTGCAAGACAGAAATTTAAATAAATATTTACATAAATTATAAATAATTATATATATACACACATGCATTCACATATATACATACATACACATACACATATATATACATATACACATACACATACATATACACACATACATACACACGTTAAATACAACATATAAATATCAGATACAAGAGAACACAATGATGACAGTCTTCTAATCATTTTTATATTTAAATTAAATTGGAAAGATAAAATGATTTTAATCTTTTTTTGAAGGAACTGCTAGACGGGCTATTCTGAATATTCACGGGAAGTTTATTCCACAACTGTACAGCACGATATGCAAATGAGTTACCCATAAAATGGGTTTTACAGCTGGGAAGCTTCAGTACCTTGGACTGGTTCAGACAAAGACGTCTAGGTCTGGAAGGAGGAGGTAATAATTGGAACCGGGAACGAAGGTAGGAAGGAGAATTGGGATTATTAAGGATATTATATAGGACCGCTAGGACATGTGCCTCATGACGATGTCTAATTGTATGTAATGCTTTTAATAACTTTATTATCGACAAAGTTACACCTATACTGAACTCAGGAAATAAGGTTACGAGTACTATAAAAACAAGTAAAAATTCAATATTTATGGCGCCTAGTTTACCCCATGATATATTAAAAATTATAACACACTTAAAAAACACTAGCAGTGTTGGCATTGACGAAATATCTACAAAAGTTGTAAAAGCTGCTTCAACATACATAGCCTCACATCTTAGCTATATTATCAATCTCAGTATAAGTTCAGGTACTTTTCCTAAAATTTTAAAAACTACAATTGTAAGACCAATATTTAAAAAAGGGGATAAATATTCAATGGAATGTTATAGACCAATTGCATTGCCTACAACATTTTCAAAATTTTTTGAAAAATACATATATTTACAAATATACGAGTACTTTGAAAAACAAAATCTATTCACATCAGATCAGAAAGGATTTAGACGCAACAAAGACATTAACTTAGCAATTTATGATTTCTTGTACACTGTTTTGACAAATATGGATAAAAGTACACCGGTTTGCTCCATTTACTGTGATATGACTCAAGCTTTTGATTACGTAGACCATAATATTTTACTTCAAAAATTATATGTATATGGAATCAGGGGTAATGTTTTAAATTTACTAAAGTCTTACCTTACTGACAGGAAACAATGTACTCAAATAAATAAAATAAATAATAGAACCAAACTTGAAGAAAATTATATTTCTGACCAGAGAACTGTCTTGTATGGTGTTCCCCAGGGTAGTGTTATGGGTCCATTGTTGTTTATTATATATATAAATGATCTACCCAAAATAACAAAGCAACCTATGTCACTTTTTGCTGATGACAGTACAGTAACAATAGAATGCCAAAGTATTGATGAGTATGAAAATGATGTAAACCAAGCTTTGAAGAATATAGTTAAATGGTTGAATAATAATAATCTAAAAATAAATATTAATAAAACACATATAATGCATTTCAGTCAAAGGACTTCTTTAAATACTATTGGTGCTTGTTACCTTAATAGTGATATTAAAATTGTAGAGAATACAAAATTCCTAGGTATTATAATAGACAATAAATTAAACTGGAAAGATCATATAGATGAATTATCCAAGAAATTGAGTTCTTCGGCTTATGCTTTAAATAAATTGTCTCCTACAGTAAATGAATCAGCGCTCATTACAGCGTATCATGGTATTACTGCTTCAAATTTACGGTATGGCATAATATTTTGGGGAAATTCAACGAAGAAAGAATTTGTATTTAAAGCTCAAAAAAGGTGCATAAGAGCCATGTTTAATCTTAAAAATACTGATAGTTGTATGCCGTATTTCAAACAATATAATATATTGACAGTACCTTCATTGTACATATTTGAAGTGTGTGTATTTGTTAAATAAGAATTTATTTCCACGACTTTCAGAAATTGTTAAACGCAATCGACGTGATAATGATAAGTTATATCTAAAAAAATCTAGTACAAAACTTATGCACGATAGTATATTATGTATAAAACTTAAATAATAATATTAAATTAAATTAAATATACATACGACTGGAAGTCCCTCTTAAAAGATCACCAAAGGCTATCTGCGGTTGCTAACCTGCCTGCTACGGATGACAAATAATTGCAGGGTGGGGGGCCACCCTTTCTGGCCTATGTTTTTTTTTATACCACTGAGGTGGCAAACAAGCATACGGCCCACCTGATGGTAAGTGGTTCATTAGTAGACAGTTAACGGCTGCTATGATTATGAAGATAACGTAAAATCCAGTGTATTTTTTATCCTGATACGTCATCTAGAACTAGGCCTTTTCGGCGCTTATCTACTTCTAAAATCCATGCATACAAAATTGCTGGCATGAGCCAATTCTTTCTAAAGTAATTACCAATACTATACTTTTATTTCGAACTAGTGACTAGCCCGGGTTGACGCGGGTGCAATAAATATTGCAAAAATACAAACAAATTGTATTGTAAAATCTTTATTGTACATAACTCAGATTAAACACTGGTAAATGATTTAATAATTACAATTGTTTGTGTAACTTTTCAACACTGTTAAGTAAGGCTGGTATTTTGAAATGTATAAAAGTATCGACTTACATTAAAATTTTGCCGACTTCAATTACCTTTATTCAGATTAAATATTGAAAGTTTATATTTATTAAAATAAAAAGTAATCTATAGCACTCAATAATAATATACCCTTTCTAACAATAAACTAATTTTCAAAATCGGATTAGTAATACCAGAAATTATCCAAAAGATCCAAACTCACAACCTTTACCTCTTTACAATATTAGTACAAGTATATTTAAAAAGTTTCAAGATAATATTTCTACATTTTCTAAAAGAAATTAAAGTTAAAAACAAAGATTATCACCACCGTGAAGGTGCAACCACAGATAATATAATGCTGGTGCAACAAAGTAGCCTATGATTTCAATCACTGTGCCTAATTTAATCACTTAATTGATATAATGTTGAGAGTTAAGATAACTAGATGTACAAAAGTCTGTACAAAAGTCGCCTCTATTGTATTCCTATTACAGCTATATTTTGGTGTGAACGGTGCACTCTGTCATCGATGGTATTGTTCTTGTGTATAAGTGATATTTATTACTTTCCATGGGCCGTCAGCTTGTTTACTATTCTAAGTAACATACAGAAATGTAGAAAATGTTTCAATGTTGATTTTTCTCTAATTCATCAATTTAAATATCTTAATATATATTGACTAATTCATCATCATTTCAGCTGTAAAATGACCATTACTGGATACTGACTTCAATAGACTGCAGTAAGGAATGATCTTAGGCAACCTGTATCCATCGATTCCATGCAATGCATTTGAGGTCTAGAGATCGCTGGAGAAACTTTTTCCTTCATCGGCTAATACATGAAGGCATGTCAACTTAATCCTCAGGAATGGTACATGAAACATACCATAAATACCACAGTGTATTCTGTGATATCGATTGTTCTATTCACATCTACAGGTGATGGTTGCTACTGTCCACAAAGTCGTCTGTCAGCTTATTTAGCATTTTATGTTGGAAAAAATATATTTATATTTGACCAGAATGGAATACAACACCTTTTCTATTTTTAAAGCAGTTTATATCTAAGTACTAAGTTAAAAATATCTGTTGTATACAATACCTATGCCATGTATAGAGTAAGATGTATTTCTGCAGGTGCAATTGGTGCAGGAAATGGTTTATAAACTAAATATCTTTCCTCGTGTACTCCAATTTTTATATTGTTTGTCCATCTCATCATCCAATCCCAAAAATGTATACCTAAAAATTAGAAAATATATTTATATAATTACAATCGGATAAGGATATAAGAATATGTATATTAGAATATTCTTAGAACCGACCTGTAGAAGTCACGCTCTAAAGCGAACTGAAAGCTCCACTCCAATACTGTCACTTATGTACTGATTATTGTAATTCCTACTATAATTATTCAAATATCTACATACGTGTACTAAATTCAAAATCATCTCCACGCTCTCATTTTCTTCAATTTCCCTGCCACCCCAAATTAAATGGACCAAAAACCGTTCTAGAAACTACTTTTTTTGACATGAAAATTGCATCAAAAGACGACACGATAACGACATCACAAATTACCCACGTATCGGAGAAAATTGGTCTTATTGAACTGAACAGGAATCATTAACGGAAGAAGCCACGCGTACTGCGGTAATGTCACGCAACAAACGACTTTTTATTTCGGCGTCTCATATTTTTCCCTTACATCGGAATTGCAACCTCGGCGAGGAAGCCCACGGACCCGTCCGACCGTGAATCGTCAGGAAAAACGCAAGTTTATACTTACACATGTATAAATATAACGTCTAACAACGATAGTGATTCAGTTTTGCGCGATCGCTTGCATCAAAATGGTGGATCGAACGGGCGGGGTGAGACTCTGAGGAAAACAAAAGAAAGTGAAGTGTGGACAATTGTGTAATCAGTGACGCATCGATCTTTAATTGATCGATAATTAATCGATGAAAATGGAGATACACATGAAGTTGCCGTTTCAGACTATAGTAGTGTTCTGTTTTGTTATTCTTTCATCAGCTAAGGAAGATTACGAGAACAAATTAACCAAGCTTTGGTCTTTGTCGAGTGCTTCGAACCGAGATGGATCGGCGATAGTCAATGTAACCAGCGCGTCTATAGTAATTCAACCTACGAGCTACAGCAGTAACCAAGTCCCACAGAGGCAATCTAGGATAACCAAGTACGCCTTCAAACCTCGCGCGATTCCTTTAAGGAGAAGCGAGCAGCCTTCCCAAGTAGAAAGAAGCGTTTACTATTCACAAGACAATGTGAATAAATACAAAACAGAAACGCTTTTCCCCGGTAATTATTTTCCAATTGCCCAAGAGAAAAGCAATAAGAATTTAACACAGGACTTTCCGTATAAACCACTTGATAGTGAACCATTTCATCCGAAAGCGATACCGTTGATCAGGAGTCAGGAATTCCAGAGGAGATCATTAGACGTGGATGAAGAACCAATCATTGAAAAGCCCGAAGGATTTTCAGAAGCAACTGCATCTAGGAGATCGTTATCATGTAAGTGATCATAATTTATATACATTTCTTATTATGTTAATAATTTATTTTTATAATTATTATAGTTATATATTAGTATTAATTAATAATAAAGATTTTCAGTTTATATAGTTGAAATGATTTTGATTAATTTCGAGTTAACGCTGTTATAATTACAGTGTTGGCTGTACTAGTACGTTTATTGAAACGTAGGAAGGATTATTTGATAAGATTTAGACAATTGCTCATGGCATTTCAATTGTAATTGCTTATTGCTTTTTCAATTAAATTATCAAATATGACACAAAATTTAATACAATTTATACAAATACAATTTATTCATAATATTATATAAACATAAATATTCTCAAAGAGTATTCACTACAGCTACTGTTTAGACTCAAAACCTCCTATATCACTTCAAATGTCATTATAATTTTCGTAATTCATTGTGTACTATGTCTTTCCTACTGCTAAAAATGTTGATCTCTATCAATTCTCATCTATCAACTCTGCAACAATTAAGCTCATTACTCCATCATCTAATAGATTGCTCATTACTATTGTCTACCTACCCCGAACCTAATTATTCAATTCGACCTATTAACGTCTCACTACTGGTGGATGTTTTTGGATTTTGAATTAAATGCAATGGTTACGCCTACACTATTGGTTTACCCTGGAGATGATTATTATGAAATCAGAGTAGATGGCCTATCATGATGTATTTACTAAAAATAAGAAAAAGAACAAGAATAGAATATTATCCCACTATTACAGTATAATATATAATAATAAAAAATATTGTAAACGATACATATTAGTTGAAGAGACGACGGTAAGCTCTCCCCATATCACGTAATAATCTTAATGCTCGGTGTGATGTTTTCTTGCGTATTTATGGCTATCCATATCTCGTGGTCTTGCCCACATGTAAGTAAGTATGTAAAGTATCATATGTACTACATTAGGATATAACCTATCTGCGTACCAAATTTTATTCAAATCGGTTAAATTAGTTTTTGTGTGTAGGTGTAAACATCTATCTATCCATCCATTTGCCCATCTTTACAAATCCTCGCAATTATAATATTAACAGGATAAATTTGCTTCTGTAATATTTTGGAGGAAAAATCAAGTATCACATTCATAATAGTCAAAAGTATATTATTATTAATGTTTATATTATAGTATATACAACAGAATACAAAATATAATAAACCACTAGAGGATTCCAAATCGTGATAGAGGATTTCGGTAAGAAATTAATATATTCTTGATTATGGTATTATCATTAAACATGTTTTAATTAAACACTAAGAGATTGCTATGTCTGAGGATTAAGATCCATATGAAGGATATCACGGGCATAACCATCTTTTTTTGTGATATTCACAGAGCATTGTGAATATCACATTGTATCTGTAAAAGACAGATACTACTTTTTACCACATAATTCAGTAACCGTCAAATTGTATGTTACTTCGAATGTCAAACACATTCCAAATTCTACAAAATAATTAAATCGGCAGGCAGTTATGCTCCTATTTTTATCATCATCATATTAATTTAATGTCGAAAAACATCGGTAAGAATCTGTTTATTGTTTACCACCGAAAAAGTATCGCAAATTTTTGGTATTCGAACTGATTAGAGCTCACAACCCTTAAGTTTCGTAATTCATGGTATGAAACCACTAGACCATGTCGCTCTGAATTCGATACTGCATCGATAAAATTACACAGTCTGCAACAAAATGTCATCAAATGCTACAATTATTTATAATTGCATATTATTATTTCCCGCTGTTTGGACGACCCGCCTTATCAGAACTCTCACTGTACCCCTGAATGTCAACAGTAAAACAAACCTGCAATCATTTCTATCTGTCGACTGTAAAATCGGAATATTGGTATAACAGTATTGTTTGCTTGACTGATCATTTGTTACAATGTTACGATACACTATTATATTCATTAGCTTCTTAAATGCAACCTGTATTTTACAAGAGTTCCGAAGCAAGAAGAGTGGTGATTTTAGGCAACTTTGAATGACAAACAAGCTGCTGTTCTATATAATGGAAAATAGTAATCTATAGACATAAATGTACCTATCTTAAATATCCACCATAAATATACACTATGTATAAACATAAATATCCTCTTCCTAAGGGTTAAGGTACTATGCCTTCGTACCATGTAATTTTAATCTCATATTTTACCTATTAAGCAGAAACACAGGTAAGACATCTACTTAGGAGCAGAGACATGAGTGGGATAGAAGGTTCTTGGAATTATTTTTCATTCAGGAGTACTCTAATGATGTTTTGATATATGATATGATAAGTACAGCTTAGCATACACTTACTTAGTAATTAGGTATGTCCAAATTTGAAGAACAAATTTTATGTATCCTAAATGGCTTATCTGTCAACTTAGATAAAAAATCTTATTGTAAGTATTGAATTCTTTTCACGCTCTGTTTAGTTTAATTGATTTGTGTCACTGAACTTACTTGAAATCTATTACTTCCCATTTCCAGAGAAATTTAAATGATATAGTACAGACTTCCTCTCAATGAAGAGAGGTGAGGGATAGAAGATTATCGCGATTACTATCTTAAAGTTGTACACGGCCATGATTTCCGCCTTATGCTACATAATGTGAAGCACCTAATTCTTCAAGCACCAGAAGTACATAAAGAGTGGTCCTCTTAGACTTAGGAGTTCCATCTCGCCTGTAAGATTGTCCTAGCAATAAGACCGCCTTTTGTGCCTTTATTAATATTTTTTTATCTGTACTTTATGCTATTATATTTCACTTAAATATTCTAATTGTCATTGTTTATTTTTTGGTTTTGGATCAATAAAGGTTTGAATAAATAAACAAATAATTATCGATAATTTTTATAGCTCCGAAATCAATCACGAATACCAGGCTGGTAGGTATTCAGGTACTCCGTTTAAGTTCGAACTTACGACTTATTATAATAAAAGTTTTTATCCCCAACTGAAGTACTGTGATACTCTAATTAAGAACCTCAAGCTTTCTGCATGTTAATTTAATTTTATCCCAGGTTACTGCGGAACTCGAGTGCATTCATAATATTAACACCAAGGATTAGGTCCTTACATATTCTTAAAGATAGGTCGTGTTTTGAAATAATAAAAAAAACTTATACTATTGTAAAGTAATACTTTAACCCTTTAATTTACTTACTTTAATACTTAAACCCCTCTTATTGTTATAATATCATCATATCAGCCTTTAACTGTTCACCGCTGAACATAAGCCTCACCCTTGGGGAGGTCTTGCCAGTAGTTGCCACGCTTAGCGAGCGGGTTGGCAACCGCAATTAGGCCTTAGTGGTGTTTTAAAAAGGGAGGCTGCTGCTGCTTATCCCTCGCCCTCCCTTAGTCGCCTCTTACGACACCCACGGGAAAGGAAGGGGTGGCCCATTCTATTCCGGAACCATAATAATATATACGTGCATATATTTATAACTTCTTCGTAATATGTCCAAAAAATTTTCACGAATATCTTTGTATTTTTATAGCCCCCGCTGACTACTGTTAAATACTAAGCAATTGAGTATAAATATTGAATAACTTTTGATGAAAAAGAATACAACGTATTATCTCTCTATTTTATTCTCAAAATGACATCAGAGGTGCATAAGAAAAGAAAAACCTATTGCTACTTGTCGAGCCAATATGACAATAATAAGCTAAAATAATCCTCTTACGAAATCTGGCTCTTAATTATGGTAAATAATAATTAATATATAATTTATAGATGGATGAGAAGTAATCCGTACTGGAAAGGATGTATAAAGTGACCCATCAAGACAAGGTGATGACCTCGTCGACGAAGCTCGTTTCTTGTTAGTCATATATAAAAACATTTTACATTTATTTGTTTATTTATAAATTACTCACCACACTTACAGTCTCCCAAAACGTGTAGATTTATTATACAACTTAAAAATTTTGTACAACATGTACACATTTCATCCATTTACTGTTAAACATAGATCTCTCTCTATTGGCAAACTTTTACCAGTAGTTTCCATGCTTAAGTTTTGGTGCTGTTTAAAGTGGGACGCTGCTGCTTATCCTTCGACCATTAAATCCCCATAGTTTTTGACACTCACAGGAGAGGAAGGTGTAATCCATTCTATGCCAGGATCACACTGCGATATCTCTGTAGAAAAACTTTTTATGCTTTAGCAGAAAAATTATCATATTGTAATTAAAAGGCTAAAATAATTACACACGATAACATATGGATGTTAAATCCGCCATTGTATACTTTATGTATTACGTGCATTAAAGCTAAATATGTCAAATATATTATATCATACCGAATAAATAGAAAAATAAATTTTGTAATTAACCTGTAATTAAAGACAATTCATGTTTATTCATTGATAAATATTTGTAAAGATTATTCGACTGAGAACTAATTATTAAGAGCGTTGACACTAAAGTAATACATGGATGATCGAACTATTTTAACCAAATTCATACTTAAATTATGTAGCATGTGAAACTACTTGATCAGGCTGCTTGATGCACGAATAATATTGAACACGTCATACTGTTTGGATTAATAATTGTTTGTTTTTGATAACTATTACTCTCGAAATTCTAAGTTCAGAACTTTTAATGCATTTGTTATAATTGATGCTATGTTATTTATAAATATTTATATATCACAATATAATATAATTAATCGTCTTCCTTTCCTCGCTCCAATAATTTGGAATCGGCTTAATATGATTTTATTCACATTACGCAAATTTTTGGCTTTTGATAAGATATATCGTACAACCGGCTGCCAACTTAATGTTAATCCTTCTTAGGAAGGTAATCACAACGAAATACTGAGTCAATTGTTGCATTAATGAATTAAAAAATATAAATTTGCATTAAGCACATAGTGATTTGATTTAAATATTAAACAGACATTGTACATCAAAGACGCTTCAATAAAGCTAAAATCTAGTATGAATGAAACTGATTGATCGTGTACGAACCTCTTAACATATAACGTGTCGTTGAAATCGGCAGTTGGAAGCATCGCGTGATTATGTATTGTATGATAACATGTAAACAATACGTTGTATCTATCAAGATAAATAATTCACACTAATTAACTTCGCTTTAAATGAGTTAAATTCTTCGTGTTCTAAAAGTGCGAAGGATTGTTATAAGTTTGTTTTCTCCTTGTTAAGATAATCTGGCTAAGAGCGTTGATGTAGACTATACTATAATTAAAAAAAAAATCATTTTCTTGTAATTCATAAAATCAATACATAGTAAGATTTTTTATTGTATTCTCCATAAGATTACAATAATAAACTTATAATAAATTCAAACGATTACACACAAATGTTAGACTAAGAAAATAATGGGCGGCTTTATCGCTAAGAGCAATCTCTTAAAGAGCTTAAAGTTTCTGCGACTTTGCGACCACGTGTATTCATTTGAAAATTATTTCAATAATTTGTCTCGTATACGTATAAACAAATACGTATTAAAGTCTAATTTACAAGTAAACAAATGTTAATAACACAAATAAAAAAAAAAACTTATTTTATTCATAATCTAATTAGTATAGAATCAACACAAGAAAAAAACCTTTAAATTAAGAAAAGGTCACATATGTCAGTCATAATCATGAGTAAATTCCAAATTAATCAGTAATAGATAGGAATGAATGATAGAAAGCATGAAATTTGTTACTAAAATGTGGTAAAATAACGTGGAATACTGACATGCAACAGTCATTAAAAATTTAACACGAAATAAATCTTTACATATTTTTATACCTAGGAAAATTATAAGTATCTATACCTAATATGAGCGACGGATAATGGATATAGTTGCAGTTTTACTATACTATAGAATTTAAGTAGAATAGTGAATCAAAATGACCTATTTAATATGTATATATATATCACAATTCCTTCACTGTTTCTAGCATTAAATTATGGAATTCATTGCCTGTTGTCATTAGAAGTACAAAATACCTCGATGCTTTCAAACGAATTCAAATAGAAAATTGGCATTCTTTATTTAGGTATTTTTATAATTATTTATATATTTATTTAAAATTGTTTATATAATTATTTATTTTCTGATAGTTTGTTTTCTCATGTCTATAATTATTAATATACATCCTGGTATTAGGTACATATATAATATATATGCAGGGGTTATATAATTTTATTTGATTAATATATATATATATATATATATATTTTAATTTTTACATATTTTTAATTTGCAAAAGATCAACAATTAGTCCATTACCTTAAGGTTGTCTTAAAAAGATTGCTCTCAGCAATAAGACCGCCTTACTGTACTTATACAATTGTATCGTTGTGTTTGTAAATTGTCTTGCTTATTTCTTCATATGCATTTATTTACTCAGAATGTATTCTAAGGCATTTGACATATGATATCATGTGCAAAAATACCGCAGATTTCATATCACATTTCATGCAGTACAAATTTTTCAAATGGTGTATTTAATACACCTAAAGATATAATTAAAGTTATATTTTATAACATTAATTAATTAATTTCTTTACAGACGTGCTGGGTCTTGGCGATTCAGCCGAGATAGAAGAAGAAGATGAAGATGAGGATGACATCTTAGAAGACGAAGCGGAACGTAAGAAAGGAGTTAAGAAGCCAAAGTATAAAAAGAAGAAATTAAAGAAATACGTCCTTCCGTTGCTTTTGGCGTATAAAATGAAATATTTCGCTCTAGTACCAGTCATGATTGGAGGCCTAATATTGTTAATAGGTGCAACTGGATTGGCTGGATTCTTCTTTGCTCTGTTTGCGGCCGTTATGGGTTTACAGAAAGGGGGATATTAAATCATTGAATAATTAAATAAAGTCGACGTACTCATAGTTGCCATCAGTACTAAGTTAATTATTAAATTATCTGGAATCTACGACGTATCCTACTTATCTGTCTATTCTTTCGATTACCACCGAACGGCTAGCTGACAATATAACTGTGTTGTTTTTTCTGGATTATTGAACTTCTACTTCATTGGGATCTTTTTTTTTTTTGTTCTACTTTTGTGTGAAAATTTATGACGTCTCCTATTTTTAAGTGCTCGCGCGATTGTAAATATATTTGTACCAAATAAATAAATTAGTGTAAGTTATTTATTAACTAATTTATTGTTAGTCAAGATGAATATATAAATTAGAAAAATAATGTAGTTACCAATAAATATGATATTGTAGACGAAATCTGTATTATTTTGTAAGTTAATAATGACGCTGATAAAAAAAACTGACACGATTAAATACACATGCTTTGATTATGTCTTTTATTGACAAATGTATACTATTTACCATATATATCATAATCATCCATTAATACCTCAGTGCATGGGTTTTTTATGTGAAAATATATCAAACAAATATATGGTTCATATGATGGTAAGTGCAGCAACCATAGTCTTATACATAATAACAGTATTAGAGGAGTCGTCTTGAGAAACGTCTACTTATGGTAACCATAAGAAACGTCATATAGACGTTTCCAGAAAATCCACTAGATGGTGTTAGTGTCGAATCAATTAATAAATTTATTACAAAATTTTTCAACGACAGATGTATAAAGAGACGGATGGATATATGAACAGATGAATGAATATTTGTTACTCTTTCATGCAAAAACTATTGAAGAGATTTCAATGAAATTAGATACACGGGTAGGTTATGTCCTAACTTTATCACATGTGATACTTTATATACTTACTGTTTCACGTGACAAATGAAATGGGATACAGGTAGCATATAATAATTCTAATTTAAGAAATTCATTCAATAAAAAAAAATATCCAAGAATATTAGTATAATGACGATTCGGGAATATACCCCATTGAGGACAACAGACCATAACAGAATATCAGTGTTTTACTCTTTTGAGGGCAAAACAATAAACTGAGTTGTGACCATTTTGCGTTACTATAGCACACGCATGAAAGAAGAAAATTGTTGTTTTATATATTTTGCTTTTTGTTTTTTTTTTATTGTTGCTTTCTTTTTGTTTTTCATTCTTTCATCTCTTTTACTGTGTATGTGCTGTAAGTAATGCAAATAAATTATCTATCTATCTCCAAAAATATTATTAAAATCGATGCAATATTGTAAAAGATATCGCTTAACGACTTTGTTCTTGCTATGTAATTTTTGATTTTATGCCTTCAGCTATAAAGAAATTATAAAAGACACGATACGCTCCAGTAATGTCTACAATTGAAATTTTCTAATCTCAGTGGTAAAGATTGATACTACTCTGGTTTCTTATAAGAACTAAAATAAATATATAGATTAGTAAAGGGGCTTTAGAAACGTTCGATGTTAGCGTAGAACTGAAACCAAGCAAACAACGCAGAAATACTTGTTCAAAATTAACCTTTTTATATATTGACAATTGAAGTTTTTTATAAAAAAAAGAATATTTATAAACAATTGAAATAGAACAAAAAATACATACAATACATCAAGTCAACAGTCGAAAATTTTATTTTTACAACTAATATAATTAATAAATAATATATACAAAACAAGAACCAGCATATTTAACAAATCATAAAAATAATCTTAAAATAAATTATTATCTTCTACTAGAAATAAAAGTAAACAATAATATATATATATATATCAATTGCGTTGAACACGCATCATGTTAGGCTTAGGTCAATCCATCACGAAGTTGCCTAATTCCCATATCCTTGTAAATTATGGTTTTTATCACACAGCGGTCAAGTTTTCGAGGCTGGAGAAGTCGATATTTGATACGTCTTCTTAATATGAGAATGAGGCATCGTATTATATGCATGAGTATTTTTATCTTTGATATTTTCGAACGCAACTGATCTATAGTTTAAAAAGTCCATCAAATCCATCAATTTTGGTATTTCAGTGGTTTGTCTGCTTAATTTCCATGCCATTCTTAAGGAATTGTCCATCTTGTGAGTAATTAAATATATCAATATTATCTCAATTATATCAACTTGCATCGCATTCAATGCATCTAATGATTGCTGTAACTTGCTGAGAAAATCCTTGATATTATCTCTCGTAATCGTATTGTAATTTAATATTTTTAGATAGCGATTGACAGTTAGCATTTTATTTTCATATCGTTTCTCTGATGTCGTTAAACTACAATTTAAATGTATATTTGACTAAAACTAATTTAGCATGTCAGAAGAGTTTTTATGTTGCTTGCGGAACGCCGCCGAAACCAAGCCACTGCTATCCCAATGGATATTTAATGAGTAACGTCGGGATTCAATCAAGGGCTACAACAATGAAGATACATCGTTATTAACTGTGATATCATTTATTTCATGTAACCGTTAATTAGGTCATTTGTAAGTCTGAACTTATCCCTTCATCTGAAATCACTTACCATAAGATTCGAGAACTCGCTTACCACTCATTTACTCATGCTGTTAATACTATTTCTATTCACTAGTATTATAATAACGAAACTCAATTAGGTCAGTTTAAACCACATCATAACTCTTTATTTCACCTCTCCCAACATGCTGTCTGCTGTCACCGTCTGACCTTATTTACTGACTACTCTGCAACTACACTTTATTGACAGCTAAATATATACAATACAGGGTAGATATATATATATATAAACTCTTTTTTATATAAGCTTTTATTTTTATAAAAGATTTACGATAACCGATTGCTTGTATCCTGGTACACAATCTAATAATAAAAATTTGCCAATGCTTTATATATTCTTCTTCAGTTTCCAATGTTTATAATTTAGGGACAATTTCAAATAACTTTAAATTAGGAGATAGTTCTTAATTAGGTTATATTTTTTTTTATTATGACTACCTAACTCAAACATTATTAGAAAATTTAAAAGAGTATATTTTCAAATTAATTCCCTAGAAATTTTATCATAATCGGTTTTTAAACTAAAGTAACTGGTTTTGCTAGCATTACAGTCGATTTATTGTAAAACAACGTATTACATTATTTAGAATATCTATAATATAGATTAAGAATAGTCCTCCGGCCATCTTCAATATATTACAATCACTGTACTTATTTATAAAGAGGACGTTTTTGACCGATTTTCCTAAACAGTTCACAAAACTATTTCAATTTTTATAGTAGTACATGTAGTAAGATAAGCTTCCAAAGCCTGTACATAAAACATTTTCATACATTAACATCTTTGAAATTTTCGGACTAAAATTAATAAGGATAAATATGACTGTTGCATTAAAAACTAGGTTAAGGTAAGTATCAACATTAGCTTTCTCCAGTGTAACTTCAGTAGTAATTATGGTGAAAAAGGCAATTAAAATGCAATGCATGATAGGCCTTAATGCACTAGTTTGACATGTATAAATGCTAATGAATACTGCCAACAATTCCATAACGATTCGTACACGCTTATGTTTAAGTTGATAAAGAATATAAATTTAGATAAACAATTATAAAACTAAAAGAAATTTAAAGATCTATGTGATAATTTAGATAAATAACACGCAAGTAATATACAATGTTACCCTATTCCCGTGGAATTATTTTGGATAATACAAATAATTATGGAATAGTAAAAACTGATGCGGTTTTTGGTTTTGGGCCCTCGAATCACGATAAGTACCCTACGGACACTTTTAATGCAACTGAACCATTAGAGTGGATTTTCTCAAATGGCAACTTTGAACAAAGATCTTTGCAAGGTAATCATTTTATTTTTAACGACCAATCCGCCCCTGCTTCGCACCAGTGTAAATTAGAATGTGTACTTACATTTTTGTCCTAAAAGCATGTCTGGCCGCGAGGTCAAATTAGATATTTTAGCGCTATAATAATTAACATATCCTTTCACTTACAAGAATCTTAGTACATTATTTATTTGGCATTCAAAAAAGACTTTGCAATAAATTACCTTAATATAATTATATTTTACAGCCAACGAAAAATTTTCAAGAACATATAAAGATACTGTAACAAAAGCCAGAAGGGATTCAACACAGAAACGTAGCAAAAAGAAAACTAAGAAATCTGTGGAAAAAATAAATAAACGAAAAGGAAAAGGAAAGGGAAAGAAATGTGTTTTCAAAGTAATAAATAAAGGTAAAAAGAAAAACAGAGGTGAAAAGTATAAGATGCATAAAAAGTACATGCTACCATTAATTTTGGGGTTACTAGCTGCAAAAAGTATACTCATACCAATAGCACTGAAGGCACTTGCATTTCTCTCTGCCAAAGGTATTTATTTATTTGATGATTTATTGTACATACCAATTATTTATAAAAATATGACAAAGGTACCAAATGTACAAAGGCGAGCTCTAAAAGAGTTCTCTTCCAGCAAACCCAAAGTGGAAAAGTATATTTATTATTAAAATAAATGACTTTCTTTTATTTTATTTTGCCATTTTATGGACATTTTTATCTGTAAAAATATGAGAATGTGTCATATAAAAAAATCGATTTTAGTGATAACACATAAATATGTAGACTAAATTTTTAAATTCTTATTCATTTTCTTAGTTTCTCGTATGTTTAGCTAAGGTTGTGTCTTATCAAATGTCGTCGCCAGATGATCTTAACCTGAGTTATCTATTTGGTATCATTTAAATATATGATATATATATATATATATATATATATATATATATATATATATATATATATATATATATATATATATAATTATCTTTAAAAAAAATTTAATACATGTGAATTATCTATCCCGATTTACATTTTAGTTTGAATTTTAGTAAAAAATACAATTGTAGTAATACATATTCTCAATTATTAATATAAAATCATTGAAGATTTATTATTAATAATCGATCGAAGGTTACAGATAAACTCAAATAACATAAATATAACAATATATTACAATTATAAACCCAATAAGGAATGTTAAATACAATTATAATTTTTTTTTTTACTCACAATTATACCGACATTTTCTAAGCACACAAATTCAACTTCCTCAGGTCTAATGATGGGATTCTTCTCCACCGTGATGGCGTCAGTCCTTAGTCTCAAAGGGATGTTCGATCATTCTCATGGATACCAAAACCGAAAGGATGATACCAAAACTCAAGTGGAAATAATACAAGTTCCGTCCAAAAGCGAAGACCATGTATATTATGATGAACATTACAAGAGAGGAGACTATATACCTTTTATGGACAGATATGAAGCCACGTAAAATCATAAGAATGCTATTTGAAATTAAATTAAGACTTTCATCATGTGCACGACCAAAAAGTGAAATTCTTTAACTTAATTTGGTTTTTCCATCCAAATATAATGTGCACCAATTAAAGGAAAATGTGAATAGGCAATCCATGGGTCT